TTTGTACTTGGAGAAAACATCATCGATATAGTCGCTCATATTGTAAAATCATCATATTTGTTATCAATCATGATTAAGTAACACGGTTTAGCAAACAGCTTCGAAGTACACAGAAGCAGATACACTCAGTATCACTGTGACATCAAAATGTCACAGTATCAGTCACACTGTGAATAAATTATTACTAATTGAATCACAAACAGGCCGATAATGGTTTCCGCTCCAATAAATAGGTTTAAATAAACGAAAAAAAAAAAAAGAAATGAGCTAATAATTTGTTATATGTCCTTATGCTCAAGCGGGGCCAGTGGCTAAGATCAATATCCTGTTATATTCTAGATAGGTTTACTTTAATTATATGCCTAGCAGACGGCGACTTTATCATTGTCATATTTGCCTTAGCTTGAAGGTAAGCAGAAAAGTTTTCGTTGAAATTTTTCGACCAGGGGGAATCGTCACGTTTTTGTTGATCGCTTGTGCCACAAAGCGGAATAACACGAAAACATGTACTCAGTAACGAGCCTTTCTAGCATTAGTTCTATCACTGCCTTAATGGGGATAGTTTGCTGCTTCGCAATAGCAGCCGGTCTATGAAAGGTTGAAATATGTTGAGCTGAGTCCTTCATGGCAACGCTGAAGTTCGGAACCCGATATCGTCCATATGGATTGATGCATATCGGACACAACATATAATACCCGTGAACGTTTTCTGCTAGCAAATTATGCTGAAGGACCCACTTCATTGGGACATCGGTCCTTCGTAGATCCAACAATTTCGCTATACCAAAGACCCCAAATGGTGCTTTCGTAAATTGAAAATCCCTAACAATGCGCTCCAATAAACGACGCGCTTTTCGATTCTTGACCTTCGAAAGCCACGAATGCAGGACATCTCGAGCTAGAGATTCAGATATGTACGATATAGCCTCCGAGTTGGTTTCAACTGTTGCGGTCCACGCCTCGATTCGAACACATTTAACCACTTCCTTCAACAGCTTCACTTGTAATGGATCTGGCGGTAGAGGTATGCGCTTGAGTCCCACCATCTCGGCCCCGTTATCAAACTTCAGTAAATCATTTAAACGTCTCCGAATCCGGAACGGAATACGCTTAACAGTGTCTGTCAGTGCAAACAATTTGATCCGCATATCTGCATATGTTACCTCTGGGCGGCATGGAGCACTCATTGGCAAAATATAGTTCCTGGTAGTAACATTTTCAACCATTATTATTATAATCAGCAAATTTTGTCCCACTCTGAGTCAAAAAGCTATATCTCAGAAAGCATTAGACTTAGATCCGCGTTTCTTCGAATGGTTTCGTAGCTGAATTCCCGGCCAGATAGCCCGATCTAGCATTCAAGCAGCACTGGATCTCAAAGAATAGCAACGCTAATAGATGGTCAACGCATCGATATGTCTATGATAGCTGACTTTGCTTTAGAATGGTGTTGTCATTGGCACAGGTTTTTTTTTCCTCTATAATTACTCTACACAGTTCACTTATATTTTTGTTGGCAGACTTTTTTTTGTTGTTTTTAGTAGACAGCGATGTTAAAGCGAAGGAATAAAAAAGAGCATAGTTTTTTTTTCTAGTTTGTTCCGGGCATAGCTTCATCTCGTTACTACTTACTGATAGAAGCTATCCTTCCAAACAATAATTGGTTGATCCATTCAATCGGCTGGAGTGCTTCTAATACCAATAAATTAACTTTTTTTTTTAAAAAAAATAAGACGGGAATTGGAAGATAGATATGGAATTTTCGCATAAACAACATATGGTGGAGTTAATTTATAATGATTATACGGTCAAACCGAATCATGTAAACGAACTGAGTAGGGACAAAGAGTGAGCCCATATAGGTTCTGATATACGGCTATATGCGCATCGCATAGCTTCCGTAACAATCTCCAGAGAGCTGAATATAGTGAGGCACATCCTACCGAGTGTCAGTTAGAAACAAGTACTTCTGACAATCTAACCAGCTTTACTAGGGTATTTCGACGGCTAGCTAGCTGTCCAATGCGCGACCATCGATCGAAGTTTCGGTTTTTTAGTATAATAGGTTCTCGAATTTTTTAGAAAGTATCAGAGCATGGTATTTACTCGCGTACCAATGCATCCTATCGCTCTCGCTTTAAAATTGCAAGGTGTTATATGTATAATAAGCTTTATAATATAGTAATACACATACCGCGGAACAATTGTCTTACACAGTCGAATGTAGCTCAGCTTAACGGGCTGTTCATGCTAACAAATAGATATATTTTTAATAAATGTAGTACGAGGATCACAGTCAATAGAAAACTTTCCTTGCCGGATTGCTGGTCTGCGGCTACGGAACTTATCTATCCGGCAACACAATGTATGTAGACACAACAAAGTTGGTGGGAACTTCGAATCTGGCAACAGCTAGAGCTCGTGAACCCTGATTGGGAATTTCAGGGTTGGAAAGCCATAAGGTTCAGCTTAGTGCAGATAGCTCTTGTCATCTGCTTCTTGCATAAGATCCAATGTCTTGGGTTTCTACGATGAAAATTACTTTCCTAGGTCAAATAGTAACGCTATATTGTTGATAGATCCGCCAGTAATTACTTTCAGGATGTGGGACAACGTTCTGCTGGACTCTAGCAACTCGACAATTGCATGGCTTGATAAACGAGTATTGCTATGTGGGTTACACTCCGATTCATGTCATGCTTCGGATATTATCAAGCTTGATCCTTCATAGGAAATGACATAAAACCTTGTTTTTTCGATACGTTTTTTGAATCTCGAACATTCTATCTGCGAATAACAGTATATATGATTCAATTACTACTGTTTATGTAGAACTTCTATCTCTATTTAATACTGTAGTTCACTAATTCTGCTACTTGTATTGACTCAATGACCATGGAAAGCTTTGATGTGGCACCGTTGAATGAAACAGGCTTTGCCTTTTGGCTGAATGGCCACGAATTAAGTTCAAACAAATGAGCGTGAAATAGTGCTTTATGTTATCTGGCCTCACCCACAGACGGCACATATGAGTGACCACGTTATTCAAGCAACCGAATTCAATTGCCTCCATTTTTAACGCTCGCGCGCGTCTTCGGTCCTTCCATCTAACTTCACTCATCAGCTTATATCAGCCTTTTTTGCTTATAGAGGCTAGAAGGGATATGTAGTATTCGAAATTCGTACTGTGTTAGTTATTATTGATGTCCATAATTGTTATTGTTGTTAGATAGATAGATAGATATCGTACTTTGACTGGCGGAAATTAACATGTTAGGTTTTCCGGTAGGCTGCAATGTAAATGGTAAAAATATAACGTTTAGGATAATTATTTCGGCATCCGTTGAAATATTTAATGAGATAAACATAAAAGTTCTAGTTTTTTTTTTCAATATGTATGATCTGCTCAGGAAAGGGTTTCTGAAAATTGCTAGGCCTTTATAAGCGAACCTGATGAATTTTCATTTCATTCCTGGCGTTTATCTTATAACAGTAAATGCAGTCAGGGCAACGCTGTTCTTTTACCAGAGATTGAACCATGCCTCGCCTACCGTAATCGTATGATTCAGAGATGTTTTTTGTTTATTAAAGTTTCGCTAATTGCACGTCGATTACACCATACGCATTTTTAGCTAACCTCGACTAAGTTAAATAGGGGCTCATTTTTTGCTTTGCTTCTGCATATCCAGCTATCTGGGTTATGGCTCTATGCATGTAAAATACCTTCAGATTCCAAGCTCTGTTTTCATGAGAAGCCTTTTCGATTAAAGCAATGCGTTTTTGTCCTTCAGGTCTAGATACTTCGCCACCTCCTCGCTCGTTTTCAACACTCGCTGAATTTCTATCATTAAAATGTTTTCTTGTTTTTTCTTACATTGCTTTCGCTTAAAGTTTCTTGGTTTAATGTCTTTACCAATTTTCGATCAACTTACGTAGCACTGCAACTTTCAAGGAACAAAGTTTAACCAACTGAAAGTTGACATTCGAGACAAAAGTTTTTCTTTTAAGACTAGCTCGCTTAGAGGAAGCTCAACCAGTTTCCACACAACTGGAGATTTCACCAGGCCAGTTTCGTCTGCAGCCATTCAAGTCCGACGAATTTACTCGTAAAAGCCTAGTAATTCTTTTACTTTAATTTGATACAAAATAATGCTTATTTTCGGGTCAACTATGTGGGTTAAATAAAACAGCTAACGAGATTATATTCGCACTTTGTAGAGAGAGCGCAGGGAAATCTTCACCCACATGTTTACAGAAAGACGAAATTGTTTTTTTTTAACAAAATATATTGTTTCTCTGCAAACAGAAAAACTTTGTTACAGATTATAATGTTACACCAAATACAAAAGGCCGTTACAGAATCACGAATACCGACTTTTCCCAGTAATTTTGGCTGATCCAAGCCCCCCAAGAACCTAACGAGACGATACTGAGGAAGCTTTCTCTTTACATTTCGCTTATTAGGTAATCTCATAGTCTTTACCACTAAACTCGTTTGTATTTACGGGTAATAAATAACTGTTCTATCAGCCATGCTGCATCAGTTCTTTGATGATGAAATAAACATCAGTTGCAAGAAACATCGAATAAATTCTCCATTCAGGCTATGCTTTTGTGTGTCACGGCGGTTAACGTTGCCCAACCTTAGAAACTACAACTGGACAGGTAATCCACCAGCGCATCAGGACACTTTCACAAGCATACGCAGATAGAGTAATCCTGATCACCCAATTGGCGCACCGTCCTGCAATGCACTCCGTACTACTCACTGAGCTGAAAAAATGGCTGGAGTTATCATATCCAAGGCTTCTGGACATCGAAGTATGTTGGCCTATTAACTGCTCCAGCGCTCGATTGTAGAGTCCTGCTAGCACGTGACACTCTCAAGCCAAAATACTCGAGCGTTGACGGATCAACATTAGTGCTATTGCTTCATAAAGTCGACAATTGCGACAAGCCCTGGCAAGGGGCGCTTTCGCGTGCCTATTTCAAGCCTTGCAGACAACGAAGCGGTTTTATCGGGCTGCTATTCGGCTGGCCTGTTTTATACTATGAAAGATGTCTCGGAGCCTTATGAGGACGAGGAGTCAGAATCGGATTCGAAATCTGACACTAACTCCGACTCCGACACTGCATCCGAAAGCAAATTTCAGCCCGTTGAGGACCGTGTAAATGATCGTTTGTAAGTTCCGACTCCTTCAAAGGCCTTAACGCAGACAGTCATCAATTCATCGAATATAATTTACATTTTGTCCTAGATTCGATCTACTGTGGTGACGAGCAATGGAAGCGCGTTCTGAAACTATAGGCACAATTTTCGTACGTGATGGGGCCATGACGTCCACGGATATATGCGTCCATGTGCTCAATCACTCGGGTAAAAGTAGAGTTATAGGTGACGAACAAAGAGTAGTAGTACGCCTCTCAGGTGGGACCGACCAATTCGATTCGTTATAATACACAGTGGAAGCTCCAAAGGATCTCTGTGTGAGTGATGAGACCGCGATTGCAGTAGGCATGTTTGTGGTAATTATGACAACCCAATTGCGAACACGTTAGGGATACAAATACGGTGATATCTTAGAACGGCAGAATTGCTAGAACACGATTTTAAGCTAAAAGTGAAAAGATCTATCTACGATAATTATCAGGGAGGGCCATAGTGAGTTTCGATGAAAACTTCATCAAAATTGATTCCCGAAAAGTTTGCCAAAAAAAAAAAGGTGTCTGTCCTATATTTGGTAGTAGCGGGTTATATCTTTCAGGGCGTAGGAAGGGAAAGTCTAATTTTTTTGTGTTTACGACAGACCAAACAGCAATCAGCATCTAGTATACATCTCTTCAACAAGGCAAGACCGTGCAGAAATGATGAGGCTAGTTTAAACGTCGTCTGGATACCCTAAACATCAGTCCCGTAGTGTTTAATGTCGGCTGCGGTGCGGTGAAAGTACCTGTAAGCTGGCAACACTAGTCACCTCGTGATCGCAGGCGTTGATTCGGAGCCGTGGTCATTCTCCATTTGCTGCCGCTGAGCGCTATCTTGTGGTTTCCTTCTTGAGCCCATACCTTGCCAACACTCGAAGTAATGGAGTCGCTTTGAAAATATATTCAGTACTGCCACTTAAAGTACCGCCAATCTCGTTTCGCGGGCACAGCCTCAACGAATTACCGCAGTAGATGTCTTGTGATTCCGAACGCGGAATCTACGCTAAAAATCGCATATGTGGGCTCACAATTTTTTGGACGATATTTTGCCTCTTTTAGAAAACAACAGACGAATATATCTGATTGGCCGCTTTTAGTGTCCATAATGAAATCGATACTGGGATAATAAACGATGCAGTTTTGCCATCTTCACTTTCTCTAGTAAATTTTTTTGTCAGCCTTGTTATGGGAACGATTAATGACAATTGTTTAATAAAAGGATTTGACGGCGGTTGTCTAATTAACGTTGGAATGACAAAAATAAAGGGAAAAATCAATCAATCCTACTTGTGCTCATCCGTGTGCTCAGTAGCGACAGGCACTCGTTGAAAACACCCATTATTAAGACGACTGGATTTGTAACCACTTGCTATTAGTATAAATGGTCGTCCCTAATGTTACAAAACGTGCTAAATGGAAGTTAAAAACAGAGAAAGAAAATGTTTAGACATAGGAGAGATCTTGTTCGGTGAGATTGAAGTTGAATTTTGCACTGTGCCATAAGAGCATTTCGCTCAACACCAACGCTGAAGGTCAGTGATTGTCGATTACGTTACAACGTCGTGTTACAACGCGGCCAAATCGACAGCCTGTTAATTCAATACACTAGACAGCCAATAGATAAACAGGCGAAATATCGAAAAATGGTAAATTTCTAAAGCAGCTAAAAACTCTCATGTTTACGTGAAGAAGTTGGATCCTCCGATCTGATGGGACACATCGAAGTAACGGACGTCACCAACTTCATACTTAAGAACTGCTGGCTATGCAAGGAGTCAAATTGAGTGTAATCAGCTTTTTCATTTGAGAAAGACCCATCAAAACGTGCCTGGTTTGAAGAAAGAATGAAAAAAGACGCCGTATCTACTTGTTGTAGTAATACCCATTGATGCTTCGTAGGTGTCTTGGGAGTCCTTGGACAAAACAGTAGCCATGGCTACTGTGAATTGACAACCTATATTATTAGCCAGAGAAAAAAAGGTTTCAATATGTGAGAGTGGCAAAAACGATGATGACTCCAGTACGAATATGTCCTGTACTTTCAAACAAGTCGCCTATCTCATTAGCGTTTGCTGCACCTCAACGCTGCGTACGTGCTGGCCGTTGCTTTTTTTTTTTTCGGTACCGAAACTGTTCAAACCGTAGCATTTACTCCACTTCTATAATGAATGCTATTATATTGTAACTATTTCCTTTCTCTTTTTCAGGATTATTAGATTAGCAGAAGTACCAGGGACCCTTCCACCTAACGTGGATACTATACCTAAACTTGAGTAGGTCATCGGCTCCTTCTCCAAATCGCATTGTTATGCCAAGCACAGCATTCGAGGTCTCGGATTCGATTAGGAGCTGAAACTCCAGTATTTTTCTGAATCAGAACTCTTTTCTGATGTCAGTTTATTACACAGCTATGTATAACTGGAGTGAATAGCCATTTGAAGTAACGCGTATCGTTATATATTATCTAGCTGCCCAATTCGAGCTATAAGTCTAATTACGAGGTGAAAAGGGGGAGGATTGTTTCCCACCTGCATGTTTCACGCAACCTTATGGAAAAATTGCTCAAATTCTCACGTGAGAGTTGTAGTAGATGGATGCGGGGCGAACTATGACTTTTTTCTATGGTGAATGCAGGTACTCCTATGTGGGCTTAATCATTTCAGACCTCTTTCAACGTCATCTGTTGGGCCCAGCCGAATAAGCAAGATTGATTTTGAAATTCCACAACCTGAGAAATGTCCTGAAATAGTTTTGTAAGTATTACTAGTTATTTAGTAAGTTATAAATGTAAAATACTGTTCGTAATTAGACCAGCCATTGATAAGGAAGGCTGAAGTATTCACACATAAGATTTTAAAAGTAATATCTTCTGTTCGCGTATTCGATGTGTGTTGTCATTTCCAAGCCGAGATACGTTCCAATTAAGTTTTTTTTTTTTGATTTCGACCATTCAACTGTCCTTTAGCACTAGAGCGTCATTCATTGACTGTCCAACGATATTAGTTAGCAGCGCCGCTTCAAATTAAGCAGTTTTTACGCAAAATGCTACAGCTGTTAGGTAACTTGCGCAACCGCATTGAGTTTAAAGCTTCAGGTTTTCAGAAGCCACGGTCGTGCCGCGTTGACAGACGACTGTGATCTGATCGGCAGTGCAGTGGTCTAGATGTTCGAACCCTTTGCTCGATCACTTTATGAATTACGAAAATTGTGCTGTGGCCGTCCTTCAAAAGAGACGCCCATACACACAAACCCAACCAATTCCGAACCCAGAAATGAGATTTTTTAAGATGGAAATGTTGAGCAAGTTTCGAATGATAGCTTTCCCTACCACGAAAAGCCATAGGCAGGGATAGGAAGAGCGCTTGAAAGAGATTTCATTATCATAGTTGTTTCTATGAACGCATGTCCATATATTGACCGAGACGCGCGTAGAATTTTACGATGTATTGCTTTAAGCTAAATGTTTACTTTCTATAGTTTATTTTCTCTTGTTTATCTCTAAGCAAGTTTTGTCTGATCGCTGTCGGTATGCCATTGCTGATTGCAGATCTCGAGAGCAGCAAAGTTAGGAACTTTGTTTAAAAAAGTTCACTTTTGAAAACTTCCTTCGCACGCGTTTTAGCGTGATTCTATTCATCTCGAAGCAAGCGTTCCAACGCAGTCTGCCTTGCATATGCCTTCACCCGTTACCAGACTATAAGGCACACATCCAAGTTTTGGGGGTCGAGTAGCCAAGCTTGGAAACCGCCCGTGCCTGAATGTCCGTACGCAAAAGCACTTTTTAGCTCAAGGGGGAACGCCGGTTATCATACTAAGAAGAAAGAAGTTTTAAATACATCCGAACGTTGAAGCTGTGTATCAGGATATGCACGGATGGAGCGAATATGTGCGAAAAGAGGATAGTCGTTTTTATACTTTGTTCAGGTCGTCCGATATCATCGAAAGTTTGTTTAGCCAAAGCAATAATAAGCTTTAATTCAAGCGTTCAAGTTATATAGCGCCGTATAGCGCGTTCTTGCTGTTCAATCATGCCACCTACACAAATAGCCGAAGCCACTAGATATCCTATCCAGTATTGTATTAAATGGATTTCTGTTGCTGTCTGACCCTTGATCGGAAGTATTTCTCGTAGTGAACAACCTCGCCCCAAAAAAAAGCTAGGTCGTGACAATCCTTCGAATGCTTTCCATAACATTAACCTCATCGGGGAGCGTGCATCCGTCTATGGCTGGCTATGCGTTTTCAGTCTGAATTCTTCTGTATTAACAGTCCGTATGCATTGGGAGTGCACTTCACAAAAGTTAGTAACATAGCCCTAATCCAAGTTGGGTAACGGGAGGTTTCAAATAGCGGGAGAGAAATGGCAAACATCAGCCGCGAAATGTTCTACGCCATAAAAGCGTAATTTATCTTAGAGGTGTCTTCGAACCTCATTTGACCTACGAACTAACGTCTTTTGCTCTTTGTTGGTGTTGTGAATTAAAACGATTGTTCCAAATTAGCTTAATAAACGTTTGTACGTAACTATCGAGCAGAGCAATTTCTGAGAAGAAAAGAAATCAACAAACGACGTTCTGGGCAAGACTTGAGCGCAGTACACGGCATCCGTCGATGAATAGCTATGATCCTATGTTAGTTGTTAATAAAATCAAATGGAATTAGTTTTTAACCAATAGCAAAAAGGCGGGCTTTAACGTTCACTAGGTAAGCCGTGATCGTTATCTCCTATACCTGCACCTGAACAAAAAGTTTAGCCTATCGGTGACCTAATGATAACAAAGCCTTTACTTGTACTAGTCCTGTGTTCTTTTTCTAGCAATATATATAGCCGTCGATATTTGTTTGAAGGCAAAACTTTTCGTTCTCTGATTGTTCGCGATTTTTTTAATCGTGGAATTAGATAAAACGACACTTTAAATGTCGTACGTACTCTGCATACACTGCGGGCGTCATTCTCTGTCTACCAGCATGGACTGCTGCACACTAATATTTTTCTTAACAAACGCCCTGAAATGACTTGCAGTTCGTATCATATCTCCAACGCTAAGACATAGACGACTAATTATTTGCTGTATGAATTTAGTTAACTTGGCATTACCTAGTAACATACTGGTGAGCCAAAAAAAAAGGGTTCAGTTGAGGTGTTGAGTTGGCAAGGGCCTGAACACAGTGATGTTGCTTCGTGATGCGACGTATCGAAGTTAACGTCCTTGAACAGAAATACGAATTACCAAAATCAATAGCAGATTTCCTTCAGACCCAAAGGCCGACCGGATAGTGATCGAGGTTGATGACACACCAGTTGTTTCGGATGACAGTTCCGGCATCTCGGATCTTCAGCCCATCTACATAACCGAAGGACTCACTCTAACTGTCCCTAATAAACAGAAAACATCTGTGACTACTCATATTCCGCGCCAGCGGCCGTCGCCGAAAATGAAGAAGGGTTCAACAAATGTTCAGCGGTAAGTAAAATTTACAGAATAAAATTCTCGATGATTGTTGTTAGCATTACTTAGTAACATCGATGAACTGTAGTAGAAACAAACAATGCAGCATAATTAAAATCAATAACTAGAATAGGCGAATCACATGATTCGAGCCGGTTACCTCTGGAGGATCATGATGCCCCTGCGCAAACTTAGCATGGATATAAGAAAGGATTATATTTGAAATAATAATATATCGTCATTATTATATGTGAGTATTAGGCCGACCCATTTCTAGCTGCAAACATCGGCTAGAAACAATGGCATTGTACTTTAACGGAACTTATCCAGTGGATTTTGCAAAGCGCGACTGTATGCGCGGTTGAAATTGTGTTCTGTGAGAAGAATCTTCTATTATGTATAATCGTTTCTTGGATATGTTTAGTGTCTTGCCAATTGCAATGAATGAGCACGAACTTCAACGGTTTCATCGGTAAAGTTTTTAAAAGATCAGTGTGAGGTGATACCTTCACACCCAATTGCGTAGCTTACAAAAGTAAAATCGTCTAAGTTATCAATGACGTTCGCTACGATGATAATCTGCTTTATATTATTAATACGTATGTTATGTTGCTATGTCCTATTGGAGTTGTTTGACTTACCAGATGTGCGCACTTCATGGCGTCACACGCTTCTACTGCGAACTGGAGTTTTTTAGAAGCTATGCTCGCCATAAGGATAGGACAACACTAGAGGTTAGCGCATCCGAAACCTATGGCCCACTTTGCTTTCGTAAAGGGATGCCGATTTCTCGCAAACTAACTAAATCGTGTGTGTCATTTTGCCTATTTTATTTAAAGGTCTCGCAAGAAAATCTACATCTCGATTGCCGTTATAGTGGTTGTCATTATAGCTATAATGTTATTTCTTCTAATCAGAAACAAGCTGATGGCAAAAAGTTTGACAACTCCAGGCTAGGAAACCTCGGCCTACAGAACACGTAGGTGCTCGTAAGAACGGACGACGACAATGGCACGTTGATTATGACCCACAATGTTTCCATAATCAGTAATGAACTTAAGAAGAAAAACGTGAAAAATACGGTACGAGGTGCGTGTTCATTTATATGGCTATCAAGAGCGTTTTTGTCTGTATTTAATTTACACAAACTTTATATAGTTATTATAGAACATAGAAAAGAGAATTTATAGGGTGACAAGATGACTGATGTCTGTTCGTTACCTAGCGACGTGTCTAACAACTAGTGATGAAAACGAATCTGAGCGATTTACTCGTTCATTTTCTCTATATTGGGAGCGTGTCCTCCAGCTAGAAGACGTATAGCTACAAAAGGCAATACAGTACGAAAAATACGACACGCCACACGACGTGTCAGTGCTCTAACAGACGTGTTATCGACTCAAGTGTTTGCCATTGATATCCTTCGGGTCTCCATCTGGAGTCACAGTAAGATACATCTTCATCAGCCTTTGGCAACCACCTAATTTTATGTAGCCTCAGCCGTTGAGAAGTGGCCGGGTGTCTTACAATGCAATACTGACTCCCCTGTAAATAATTATTGCGAATTTGTTGTTTCTGATCTCTCTTCTAGTACACTGAGAATGGGTCGGTTCCTTAAAAATATGCAGAACAAAAGGATGCGATGGATCTCGTGATATTCGTGTTTTATGCTACATCAAAGGTTTCAACAATTCTGTTCTGTGTCCAGACGTACTCCCCAAAGCAAATTCTGCCAATCATTCAGTATGATTTCGGCACTAGGAAGACCGAAGTAATTCTCACGGTGTCCGATTCTGACCCATTAGGACAAAAGTGCATCGTGGTGACTTGGCATAAAAATGATCGTAGTGGAAATTTTCCGTTTAGCATTTTATTCTTCCGACCCTTTGCCTACCTATCATTACCGGTACACGGAGTAGATCACGCGATAATTTTTAAATTCGATTTGTAATTGTCTAATTAATAGTTATAAAAAAAATAAACGACTTGTCTGTGACTTATCCCAAATCGGTTACACAACTACGTAGAGATATGGATATAGATATGATAGGCTCGATAATTATTCTAAAATTGTCTAAGAGGCATCTACAATTGGTATATTTTTATAAGCTTACCAATCTTAAGATAAGCTCAAGATATGCAGATCTGTACGCGAGTCAAATACGGCCGCCATGAGAAAACGGTTCGTCTATTGCCCACTGTACATCCTGTGATTCACTATAGCAGCGAAGACCGCCGGGTGTCGACTACCGTCAGAAAATACATATAATAATCACTGCGCACAATTTCACTTGGGGGTTCGGCCAGATCCATGTGTGAAATGCAAAACTTCCTTTGTTAGCTAGCGGTATGGCAGTTCGCATAATTATTTCGGCCAAAATGAACTAAACTATGAACGAAAGACGTAGCCACAGAACCTCAACGCTCGAACATTAATATCTGCCCATAAAATATAGGAATAAGACGCCACCAAAGAACGATTACGGCAATCGTTTATTTATCGACCGCTTGTCATTGAGCAAAGGGAGTGCTGGAGGATACAGGGCACAAGCATGGGCTTGATAAACGAGACTGCCTCATCTAGCTATAAGCCCGAAAAGGCCCACTCTTTACGACAATGCCTCGTTCCGGTCCGCCCGGCCGATCAGAACAAAAGGTTTTTGATCTCGGATCACGGATGCCTGAAGTTTTAACTTCCAACTCAAAAAAAAGCCTCTTGAGTGCCTGTCAGCACCAGATTTCTACTCAGTAACATTATATATTCACAATATTATTTTGTATTCAACTCGTATATACACTTGACAAAAATGTAAAGAAATAAAGATGGTAACGGTCGGGTCCAGTAAAAAAGAGGAAAATTCGCTGCGGATAACGTTCCGATATTAATCACTGCGAGTGGACAACCACTCGCCGTTCAACGGGATCTAACATCTTTCATAAAACATATTCATTAGTCGAAAGTGTAGAACAAACTCTGGGTCGACGCTATCCGACGCGCGAAATCATCCTGCACTTCGAGACAAGACGAAGCTGGAAACATCTCAAAATTCGCCCAAGTAAGAACATCCAGACTCCTGAGCGACATCTGACTGTCCGCAAGGCACTATCCTAGAACGCATCCTATATACAAATTCATTCAGTTACTTAGGTTCTGATCGATAATTATGCTCTAAACCTAGGATAAGATAAATTACTTGGTTCTCATAATGGAGTACCGCTGAACATCGCAAATTAACTTTCCTACAACGAATCAACAGGTTAAACATTATGGTCCCGTTCTTTTCCATTTACCGTAGTTATTAGCCCCTCTAATCAATGCACCAACACGTACATCGCTGCTTGCGAATCTTGTACAAGTCATAGTGCGGAGTTCCCTTTCGAATGAAGTTTGGTCACTCAACAATTCGTAAGCAAAATTTTAACCCATGCGAGTAGGGTGGAAGTTGTATAATTATGTCAAAAAAAAATTTGCTGTTTCAATAATAAGTTATAGTGCTTTGTTCAATCTGATACGGTAAGTACGATCCCTACGAGAAATCCCTATAGCCGACCGGAATCGGTATGTTGATATCAATGGCTTTTTTTCTTTCTCAGTTCGATGAAGTCTGGCGTCCGCAAACTTAGCTTCTAGGGCTTACATTTGATTTACTGAGGGTTATGATAGGGTAAGCAGTACGTGTGGCCGGCTACAACAGAAGCTGCCTGACTCAAGTAGAAAGATGATATTTGTTAAAAAAAACCTAGATGCTTTCCAGACAGATTTGTTGTCGGGGCTCTGGACGGAAGGGCCTATAACACGGACAGCATAAATAATCACTTGCCTTATGAATAAAATCGCTAAGACGGCTTAGTGAGCAACGAGTGACGAGGTAGTACTGCACAGCGCAGCAGCTTTAGAGGAAACCCTCCTGTATATCATGGGCGATGTTGATGTTGGCCTATTCACTGAATAGTTAGCGCTATCATTGATTCAGGAAAAACAATAACCTGTAAAACTGTAAGCTTTGTAATCTGGCTGAATGTAAATCTTCGAAAGGCTGGTATTGTGGTCGAAAGTACGATGCACGTGGACCTAATATCTAGGAAAACTATTGTGGTTCTGGAAAGCATGAAAGCTCTATACAAAACCGTAAGCGAAGGAAAATATGCAAGATTAGATCTAGAGTATAGTGAGGCACTCAACGAGGAATGTGTATGCGTGTCCACTGAGTGCAGCGGTAACGTGTTCGAGGGTCCGCGCATTTAGCGAAAACAGGTCAAGTGTTGTAGCTCCGTGGCTACTATAGGAGATACACTGAATCAAGAAGGCTAGGGCAGGGTGTGGTTCTTGTACTGCTGCAGTAAATAGATAGTACAGTTGGCATGGTCTCCACTGTGTATGAAATGAATGCATAGTGACAAATGCAGGGAAGTAGCATGCGGAGCATGTAATAGTGCCCATTGATGCCAGGAAGGACTCTGTGGTACGACGGAATCGATATGTCTGAAGCATCGTAAACATCTGTCATCTAGAGTCTAGGATGAAACAAGGGATACTGTGCCGGAACGCTCACACATCGATCACAAACGACAGTCAGAAATGGTTACGAATCGTTCTTGCTCAGCGCATTCCCGAACGTCGAAGGAAAATAACAATTCTAAAAAGCAGGCCATCTTACTTCCCATGCAGTTAGCTTGTGGTAATGAAGATACTGTGCGAATGCTGCGGAACTACAGTGTAGCCCTGAAATGGGCCATCAATGCTACATTTTGCCTAGACTAATACAAATACGAGAGCTGTCTGATGAAAGCAATTACGTTATTTATTAAGCAGATTATCATTACAATCAACCAATTATTGTATGGTTGTGTTGATATCTGTAGATGGTGATGGCACCGTATTGAATGGCTCCTTGATGGATTTTGTCAACAACGGTAAGATAGATGGATTATCTGAAAGGGTCAGTAAACTAAGTTTTAACGGCGAAGATCGACGATAAAAAGAAAAAAAAGAAAGCAAAATTACGAGTCTTCGCTTTTCTAACTGATGCATATAAAGTAGAAAACAAATATAAGCCACATAAATCGGTGTATGCTGTTCAGAATACGTGTTTATGGCAAACATAAATTTATGCGATTTCGCCATCTACACGAAAAAACCCGCTTCGTATTCCAGCTGGGATCTGCGCCGGTGGGCCACGGCGCGGCCGGTAAATTTGCCTGTCTGCTGAGGTCGCCCTTTTACTGTTAGGTCAAGTGTTATTCTTAAACAAAGAAGGAAATATAAGCTTCTTGGTTACCCCCTTTTGCAAGTACCCTAATTGATCTACTCAAATGTAGCACTCAACTGAAACATCTACCAATTATTAATTAAAATCAATGGACTGATCGTTGAAGAGGTAACTAAGTACCTTCTAGAGACTTCCGTTAAGTGTGGCATATTCTATTAGCATTAGTACTACTTTAACATCCGATAATAATTTCGAGTTCAGAGTGTCTCAAAGAAAACAGCTTCACGGCTATCATAGCTAACTTGTCCTTGGACGAACAACTTAAACGATACTTTTTCTATTTTCTATTATTATTAATAAAAAAAAATAATAATTTGTTTCGAATCCATGGGTATGATGGGAAAAGAAGTATTGTAATTGTCGAAAGGCTGTCTGCTCAGCTCAATAATAATAATATACGTTTATAAATATATATCTATCTCAATAATAAAAAAGCGAGTACTTGCATTTTTACTGTAACATAAAAGTAAAGTACTGGGAAAAATAACTACAGACTATAGGCTAAATGAAGCAAAGGATATCATCGAAACGATAGCACTATGCAACAGAATTACTTATGTTTAGATTCAGAGATCATCAAAGGACGACACGGGAATTTAAAGCACAGATGGTACTTTAAGCTTGGTATTGCTAATTTTCGAATTAAAAATCTACCCTGGTAAAAGTATATCACACCAGAAAGACGACCTCATGTCCCACTTTATGGTGTCGGACTAAGTGGTAACCAATTGTCCACCGGAGGAAAGTCTTCCAATCTTCTAGGTTTGCGTTACCTTAGCTTAGAAAATAACAAAAAAAAAAAAAAAAAAACATTTCGCGGCCTAACAAACACAAATAGGAGAACAGAAGCCCGCTAACATTCAAACCGACGGCCGACAAACGTAAAGAACCTGACAGGAGGATAAAGTATGGATATTGAAGGCAATGTAATTGTAGTAGGAATGTAAAAATAACATTAAATATAATATATGGCGTATCTAAGTGATTAGAGAATACAAGACAGATGATTTTTAAGGCATCTTCTGCCTGCTGCATTGGAATAGCTAAAGCTGCCACTCAACTTGATGCTCTATTCCAATAGAATCGACAGAGTCGAACTCAATCATCGTCTATTAGCGATATGAAATACTGAATTTAGTCAGAAGAACTGGGTGCTCTAGTGGTGCTTTTTAAACACACCCCGACCCAGCAGGCACTTTTTATACGATGATGTAGTATTCGTGGAACTCTCTCTGAGCTGATAAAAGCACCGTGAGAGTACTGTTATTTCCATAAACCGAAGGCCAAGTAAAGATTCGATATTATCGAGAACAAAGCCGATGGTATCGCATGTTTAGCAGAATTGGAATTAGCCAACGATAGAACAGAACTAACAGAGCCCCCTTGCCGGCCTCGCAAAAATCAGCATTCTCATAACAGAGGCCTCTTCGAACAGTTCACCGAAACATTACAAACAGAAACATATTGTACTAAAGTGTGATATAGTTTTCTGTAGTTGCTTCGTGGTGTCCATGGAGTAGGAGCAGATGTTCCGTTGAGACCGTACTGGGTCGCGTGCGGTAAGAAACGCCTATGCAATTAGAGCTTCACTGGGTTATTCAACTAGCATACGACGCTATAAAGCGCTACTACAACATGATTTTTTTAATCATACTTATCAAAGTATAAAATAACACAGGTAGTCGATGGGAGCATAGCATCTCTGCGCACAGCAGGTTAGAATACCCAGTATTTGCCCTGATATCATTCGCAAGTGGTCAAGGACGCTGTCAGGCCATTGGAATAGGCGGATACGAGGTCCGATTTCGACCTCACACGCCACGCGTCAGATGCACACAAACACTTATCTGCAGAGGTTACATTAACACACATACAAAATCTAGGCACACGAAACACACAACAGGCAAAGTGAGAGAGAGAGAAAGAGATATATATGAAGCAATCCTTTGTGAGAGGAGACTGATTTGCAAAGGAAAAGGTTTTTGTGGAAGATGCAATAGCAAAAGAGTTGGCCATCGGTAATTGCAGTCAGGGAACGATAGTTGCGGACCAACGTGAATGAATTGCTAGCGTTCCGGTTTGGAAACCTCCGAATTCCTACATGTTTTACTTATAGTGTAAAATCCTAGCGTCTATAGACAGCCACACGCACACGTTGTCTGGGTGGCCAAATGCGGCTCTAAATATGTAACAACAATTCTTCACTCATTACGTTTCAAAATATAGGCGCGATTGTTAACGAGTTTCATAAAATTTGCCTTTCTATCTAAATACTTGACCTTTTAGAGATACCATATGATATAAGACCACTTATTGAAAATTCAACACTAATTCAATGGATTGAAAAGCTAAGTCGGGCATGAATTGCCGATAGAGTTCGGTAGCCGTGGGTGTGGCTCATGTGAGGCGCCTACTGAAGTCCGTATACGATGAAGGATTGACTCATTTCTATAATCACGCCCCTGTTCATACAAACTTAATACGTAGCTCCAGTTGATTACACTTATTTTAGATTCGAATAGACCTAATGCACTGTCGATACAGTTTGTATATAGAAATTATAACTAAACAAAGTAGCTAACAGCCTCTGCCCCTTACAAAAGTATACATAACACCGACAACTGTATATGACAAAAATATGTAAATACATACAACTATCTATTAACGTTGTGTTAATTGTTTCTGGGTTCCGAACAAGCTGAAATACTCTTGCCCCACAGCGTTCATTTGACACAATATCCTTCAACTAAAAACTTACGCAATAGTTTATGGCCCTGCGACAACCTAGTACGCCTGGCCTAACTGCGAACAACCACTCTGGCGACCTCGGACCGCGGAGGGCTACTGCACCAACACACAGCGTCGCCGTCGATTTGCCGCAGTTTGACAGTAGCGAAAAGTATGAAAATTGTTTGGCGGCACCTAAAGAGACGGGCCCAAAAATTGGGTTTTTTTTTTTCCTACGACGGTGTATTGGTGGCATATCGTGTAACATACAGCCCTACTTGTCGGGGGTCAGAGGTGGTCTCGGGGGGTACTTTTATCAGACGGACACTCCTATAGCCGTGCCGCGATATTGCACAAGGATACCGAGACGAAGCTGATGACTCCTATCAGTAACCAATGCGCGGTCCAACTTGAGGAGGTTAATTTTGATAAGGCTGAGTTGCAACCGTTTTCGTCGCAGGTCGAAATACACCCCTGAAATCATTGAGGTTTATTAAATGCGTAACCGGATTGTGCAGTTAAATTTCAACAATAAGTACATGTGTGAATTCAGCTAACATACTAAATAAAAAGGGGAAAAAAAACGATCAAGTTGAAAAGCTGTACAATTATACCACGGTCGCACTAACTTTATTCGAACCACAAAATACGTTAGACTTATACCTACAAGTAAGATACACAATGTGTACAACATATTTACTAATTCAATGTCGTTCATCTATTTTTTATTCTTATCATATCAATGCATAAGCGGACAATGGCCCTCTACAGGTATCTTTACGAAATTATAAATGAAGGTTCTAGTTAGAACCTCTCCATAGCTCTATTTTGCATATTCATCAAGAAACGGTCCCCGGACGAAGGACAAGGCGAATATGTAATGTCTGATGCGAGTTTCAGGACTCCACAGACCAGTAGTGTCATGCAGAGGTCAGCTATCAGACATTCTAGTACCTAGAGACTTTTGATAGAAACGAGCCTTGAAATCCAGCGACTTTCGTCTGACAAAGCGTACGCTTTAATATTTAGATAGAAATGTTGCGAAACGTTATTTCTGAAGCTAACCCAACGATTTGCTCTAAAATCAGTCTTTTTACTTCTATCGATTGAGTCTGTTCACTGGACGTTACTCCAATATGCCTAAATTTAGCTCATTTAAATTTTGCAAATTAGGGTAACCATATTCGACTTGCAAGAATGCAAAAGGCCCGTTTAAATCGAACCATAAAATACGCTGGACGCTTTAGATTTGGATGTCTACCTGCGAGTGCCTGACTTACCTGCATATACTCGTTTTGATAACGAAACATGCCGCATGAGTTGTCCATGCTTTCTAATGAACATACTCGAATAGTAAGCTCGATATTTCCTTGCACTGCAACCAAGAGATAAACGGCCAACAAACACAACAAGAGATAGAGAAATTGGTGTTTCCTATTTCCTATCACCTGTAGGCCTATGGTTAGATAACCTGAATAAGGTAGATCTACGTATTTACAATGTTTCACATGCTTGAAGGCAATCCTGAACATAATTGTGGGTTCACCTGAAACATTTCTCGCTTCTCGTTTGCCCTAGAAGTTTTTCTTTTCACTCAAGTAAAAACCCGGCGCATTATTTAAATCTTCGCGGCTGATTATGCATTCGGCGTTATTCTGTACAACCTTCTTTCGTCTCGTTTTCGGTTTATCTATTTCTTCTCGACACTAGAATTTTCTGTTCTAATGTTGAAGAGCTTGTTGCTACTTTTAGCTTTGACACGTCTGGATTTTTTACGCTGAGATTTTTTTTTGTTTATATTCTATTTTCTTTTTCCATTTCTATATGTTTTATACTCTATACGCTAGCGTTTCTGCAAGCGATTATGGCTTGCAGTGTGTAATAACTTCATCGCGTTTACGATTAGATATGTAAGAAAAGGCGATTTCGGAGAATTTCATTGAATTGTATGATTCTGTGATACTAATGGGTTATTTCGGTGTTTTATTTCGCACCCAGCGTGTGCTGGGTTGGCAAATGTTTACATCGCTCTCATTAATGTATGTAAGACCATGATAAACTGAGGTCATCGTCTCGTCGCAGGGTATGGAACCGACGCCGTCGCGATCTATGGCCACACGCTATAGTCAAAGGGCTTTCAAAGCAAAAGAAAGCCAGAGAAGTCCATAAAAAATAGATGTGTTTGCTACTACCACAGGAAAGGTACCCCATTTATATATCTTCACCGTCCCACAGAAGCCACAATAAACGGGCTAACAGAAAAGTGGTCTTTTTTTCACATTGATAATGAACTTGAAGTTGGGGATATTTCGATTTCTTTGACCATTTGTTGAATCAAGTTGAGTTAAAACACTTGTAGCATTCACTAGTTCTCATACTACTCAGCTAGTTACATAAGCTTACCGACATACAGAAGGAACAAGGCAGGAATTGTTTCCGAAATTCGGTTACTGCAAATCCATAACGGAACGTCCTCTTTTGCGGTGATTTTACAGAATAGAATTGTACTCGCGCTCCGTAAGCCTAAAAAACTATACATTTTCAGAAGTTTCTTTACTTTCGTTTCATTACTATATCTTTTCAGAAGAGCATTCTATGATAGACCCATACATTTGGAAATCATCATTAAGGCTTATCGTAAACGTATTTCATAATAAATAATGGCGCTTATACTGGCCTCCAATCAACAAGTGGAGATCAGTAGAGGTCATTAAAAAACAATTTTGACTTAGACCGGGAAAACTGCGACTAGTGGTCGGCGAGCAATCAACGATGCCCAATACACAAAGTGAAGCTCTTATCAAATTTGATCGAATTTAACGCGGTGATAACTATATTGACGGAACCAGTGATCGGCAGACAAAACAAATCAGACGCAAATATGACATCGCCGTTTTTTTACCATTATTGATTGATCTATAAAGTAGTAGTATATTTGTATGCCTTCGTTAAGAATACGGCATAATTTTAACCTATACAGAAGGCCAAGTTTATTAAAGCTGTTAAGTTTACCAAAATTATTTCTTTTTATAACTAGGATATTTTTAATAGTCGACGCGAGCTATCGATTTAGATTTCTGATAGCGAACTACTGCAACGGCTACTTGGGGACATTGGCATAAATCACAGTGGTTCATCATTGAGTCGATGAAGCCCCGCAAACCTAACAAAGTCCTGTTTCGAAAAACGATCTAACAGTAACGACGGCATTGCACGCCACGATAGCGTTGAATGCCTTCAATTATTAATCTGCTTTGCCACAAACTAGCTTCAGGCTCGGATAACTGTTGGGTGCAATTCGCTTGGAAATTGCCCCAATCTGATATGAACCTGTCATAGGTTTAATACTAAGTATCATCCAATTTAGACAAGTATCATTCCCGCTTTACAAGAACAAGGGACATAAACGTACCTCCTTTACGTTTAAGCGCTTGCGTCAAAGACAAGTCCACTTCTCCACTCGATTCAGTATGATCTAGCCACTACCACCATTTCCCATAGAGAACTGAAGCGTCGCTTACTTAGAGCGCCGATGAATTTCGGGCTCGTCTCGGACCCCCCGCCCTTCTGGAAGCCTTACACTTCGGCTGATAATTAATAGGTAACAATATATTTATTAAGCATTCGTGATACTTGGGCGAGGTTAACGTAAAAACAGTTGAACAACAACTGTGTGAAACTGAAAAAGTTTTCGCCTGCGCGTACGATCGTTCTAAATAAAATTAACAAGTTGCGCTCAACAACACAACAGCGAATTTTTTCACGATGTAAATGCCTGTTCAGATCGAGGATTTTAATCAGAGTTCTCGTCTTGGAATTTTGGTGAAGTTACCGGAACCTTCGTCTATTATTTTATTGTTCTCATGTAAAGCAAGCATCGACGAAAATATATATATGGGGGAAGATAAATTTATTTAATTTTCTACAACGATTATAATATTAAAATTGGAGACTTTCAATAGAATTGGCTTGATTTTAACATTAATTCACAGAGTCCGAGGGTAAATAAACATAAAGACACAGACTTTTGATAGATCTTACTCTTTGTTCGTTGTTTGTCTTTTGTTGTTGTTAAGCTTGAGAAAGGTATATTACTCCCAACCAAGTGGGTTTAAGCACACATTTTAACTTATTTTGTCTCTTTTGACAACAATCGTTTTGTCAAAAGGCTGATCTATAAAGCTTACTTACATCATTTACACATCTAGATATTTTCTACGACAGCTGAAGACTTTAGTCTGCAAGTTCCAACTACAATGATATTGAAATTAACACGTTCTTCAGTTCTTGGTCGAAGGTCGGTATTTGCTTTCATGTCGCTTCGACCTCAGAAGGGGCCACGTTCGTCTGTCACGAAATTTTTCAGATAGAGAAAGCTGTTCATTTTAAGTTAATTCAACAACGTATGTTATACATCGACGCATATGGACGACCGTTCCTTCATTTTTTTTTCATTCCCCTTTAACTTTTAACCTCTTTAAATTAAAACCTCGTTTGATTTTCAGAACTTCAGCTTCACTTTTCCTAGAAATTATTATACGAATTGAAATTGTACTCGGTATTGACGTTAATCATTTTGAAATACTGATTGAATACGATCGGCTATAGTTGCACTCACGTGAACGAGCCGTCAGCAAAACGGTAGCTTAGCAGTGTTTGCCCCTTTCGTTACTTCAGTCTACCCCATTACATTAGTTAAAATAAAGCGCTTCTATACATTACATGCCCAATGCAGGAACATAGACAACCCTCGACGTTCGTTTATTAGCAGCAATTAAGTTGTTAATTATAAATATTTTCTACTGAAAAACCCCATCTTTAAAAGGTGGTGTAAAAAGTACGCACTGCGATTAAGTCTCCCGTACGACCCAAGTTATAAATGGTCCCGGATTAACAAAGCGGAAGGTGTAACGAAACAGGGTCATAATTTCCCATAGAAGTCATTGCCACTACAATGCATTAACTGGCACTCGAATACTTCCCACTAGAGAACCGGCTTCCCAAAAGTAGTTTTTCTTCGGAGGCTGAGAGCAAATGCATTATGCAGAAGTAAAACAACGTTCTTAGCCACGGAACTTAGGAAACCTGCAGTACGAACAGAGTACTCTAAAACTGTCCGACGAACACCTGGACGATGTCATCAAGATACAAACCTATTAGGACTTAACTTTACAAATTACAGAGGTAGTTTTATATTTGTGTGCACTTCTTGTTCAGTACACATGTATACGATCACCTGAATAGAAACAAGGCTGGGGTGCAATTTTCTGTGGTCTCAGTCACGAAAATTATTTGTTTGACATTACTGCACACTAACAGCCTCCAGGTGTTCCTCTCCATTTTCCGTTAACTACTCGTATTAACGATTTTGTTCTAATGTACACAGATCCAGATTTACCATTTTAGTATCTCCTTACACAGCGGTGTATATTACCCACCTGAAAATCCATTGAGTTTCACACAGTACTGGGCGGGAAAGACCCCAATGTGCCCCTCTTTAGGTACCATACAGTTGCTTACGTAATGTGCGTCCGTTGGATGGAATGGGTCATGACAGCCTGCGTTTGAGCGATTCAACGATGTACACGTGAAGCAGTCGATGGCACTTGCTGGCTCCGCAAACAATAGCAATGCTAACGTTGCACCCAGGGATCCAAGGACGACAGCCACCGAAGACACGGCGTTCAGGCCTTTGGAAAGTGATCTCAATATGCTCATCGGGCACTCCACACGGCTAGTGCTACTACTGTTGTCGCACCTCGGAGCTCTTTTCGCCATTGGGCACTAAAGCAAAGGACTGCCGACTAGCTGGGCCAGCCTTGAAGGATCTGGAGCTCGGCAGCTTTAATTCGATTCTCAGGCTAAGCGTATTCGATAATCTGTCAGGCTACGACGATGGCTCTATGCAAGCTTTATAATGGAAGCCGGACCTGCAACATGGCAGACCGATGCAACTCTCTACACACAACACCTGAACTCCCTCGGCTTACTCTTAGTGGCGGCGGGAGCGAAAAAAGTCAAAGCCAGAGGAGCAGGAGAAGGCTTGTGAAATGGGAAAGAGTCAGCAGTCGGGGGTTCCGCAAAGTGGAATCGGCTCTTTGCCTCGTGGACATGAAAGAAAGGGCAAACGAGGACAACATACATGCAGAAACGCAAGAACTATATACACACATTCGGCGAGGGCGCGGGCGTGCACCCATACAGGCACACATACATAGCGGTAAGTTACGCACATCCTCGCCTAAAGAAATAGATAAGCAGACTTTTGCCCTCAGCAAGGCCCTGCTGTACTACGACATTGCTACGGCTGTAGCAACAGGCAGGCGTCGAAGCGAAGGGCGTGCGTCGATCCCGTCGAACGGAGGCAACGAGAAAAAAAAGAGAATCGTCTTTAGGTCAAATGCAGCCAATCGCTGCATGTCTTCGCTGTAAACTAGTAATTTAGGTGAATCAAATATTTATTAAAGATGATTTGTCTAAGCGCACTTAGTGCACGTACAGGTCCCATCAGGAAAAGCAGTACTGAACGGATTTCCTTTATAATTTACCTGTAGATATAATAATACAATTGTACCACTGCTATAGGTAGTCAACTAATACTGTGTAATAGCTTGTAGACGATATCACTCGATGCGCTGCCCTGTCTCAACGCGTTAGCGCGCTTGTAAATGCCCCAGAAGACTAATGTTTTAATATGACTTTTCTTTTCTTGGCCATTCATATCCGACGTCTTTTTAAGGCGGCTTTTAGAGAACGCTAGGTATGCAATAATACATCCGCAGTCTAGCTTCTGTTGTACGACTTGTTCATTACACATCTATTGTTTACCGAACAAATGTTCTCAATACGGTTGTTTTTACCTACTTCGACTGATACCAGACGCGGCATAGAAATCTGGCGTTAAGGATTACCCACACCTTCGTTTTAGGCAGAGAGAAGGTGAAACGCCGTATTCAATATCGTAGGAGTAAAAGGTAATTTGCTGAGTAATATGTAGCACCACAAACTATGCTGATATTTTAAGAATAAATATAATAGCAATGTTTTTTTCTCTTCTAATTTGTACAGTAGATTTGACGAACTAAAAGTGTGGATGATTGAAATAGCAAATAGACAGTCATTAAACGGTCACCAAAAAAATTTTACCCATCCTGCAATACTATCGTATATGAGTGAATTTGTGTGCAGTCTTTTATAGAAACATTTGATCTATCTCTATCAAAGTGTAGTCAAGTTACTAATACCTACATTGGAACTAGGGATACCAATTTTTTTCTCCATACACTCGATCTCGGACTAATGAAATGTATTGAATTACTCGAGTAATAGATCATATCGAAAATTATATGCATACCTAGGTTGTACCCGACGCCGTGGCTCGGACAGGTAAATTTATAGTTGTATGGGTCCCAACTTCAACTTCAGCCAATAACAAACAAAATACATCAAAAAAGAAAAAGTCTTCGCATCGCGTTTGCTATTGTCTGACACGCAAAGTGTGATAGACCATCACGTCCCTAACGGTATAACACGACGTCCGGTCGTGCCTTTGCGAGCAGTATTTTCCGTTTGTAACAAGCGCACAATTTAGAATAATTTGTTAAGTTAGTTCATCGTTAGCTGATCGTCAGCTATAAACCACTGGCAGATACTACTCGGTAGAGCACTCAGGCAGCATTCAAAAAGGAGTCCTAAGTAACGTTCAAGTGGCGAATGACGCGTGTTCTAGATTTCCGCGGAATTTTCTTTTGAAAATCACTGCCCGCGGGAATATGGCTGAATAGATTTCGACTCTGAAAATCATATCCACTTTTATTATTATTTATTATTCATTTTCATTTTCACTTCAGTTACCTGATCATACAATTGCGCCTACTTTATTCCTCTGTGCCTCTACGAACGATCGCCTAAGATACATGACTCGAACATCCTGAAGACTACCTTAGACTTTTTCAAAAGGCCTAAATCACACATCGCTATATATTACGTACTGCCTGGCAAAGCGTAATTCTGTGAGTCTGTCGAGTTTGTTCACTCGTTGCTCATCCTTTGTCCTACCTTTCTGTTGTAGAATGTACTACTTCTTAATAAAGAATGAAAAACGCACTGCGCTACCGTTTATTTCAAATGAGCTTTGTTGTTTACGCTGTTTATTGCACGGCATGTGAACGCAACGTACTGGTTCGTGCCAGTATATGCGAGTGCCCTGTACAAAAAACGATATGTAGACAAAATACGTTGGATTATTTTCGGTATGCATGCATGTATGTATACTGCCAACAGATAGCAAGGTCCATGCTTCCTGTATGCGAACGTGAACATGATCAAACATATACACTGCAGGTACATTTCATTCCATACGTATATTTCTGTTTATATCTATAGCAGTACGGTAGTGTACGAAAGGTATTTGGGTTCACTGATGACATATATGTACCGGAGAGACAGACTTCGGGCTCAACCTGTAGCGCGCGGCTACGGAGGTCCGTCCTCATTAGGACTCGTTTTTCTCGAGCTGATGTCCTCAGCTCGAGTTAATTTCGGACTCCATTTGAGTAAGCACTATATTGCCTCGTATCGATTATTGCTTGCGTGTTCTATATTTGTTTGTACATAATGAATCTTTGATTCGGTTTATTTTGGAAAATTATTAATGATTGTAATGACCCAAGTGCGAAATTAGAATAGCAATTTGGCTATTACAGGATCGCTTTTAAGAACGAAGACCGAACCATGATCGTGCCATGCACGTACCTTAACAGTACTTAAGCGCACGCATGTCGATTGTGCTTAACGACATCAATGAGACTTGTACTATTGGTATCCTAGTTTTTAAAATCTACGTATGTCCAACAAAAATTTTTCGATCATTAGTGAAAGGACAATACCATTGATCGCTCAGTATTAGTACGGCATATAGACATGAGACGGTGCATAGAAGGGCAAAACGTAGTTATTCGTAATAAGGGCCTTAAAAGATTAGTATGTATTTAGATTTCTCCAATATCTTCGGATATGCTCCCAACGTCGTGCTTCTACCATACACCAGCGGGCCCAAGATGAACGTGACGAGAAGATGTTGTTACTTGAAGTGGCCAATCTGGCTTAAAACATCAAGGGTATATATATATCTACGACGTTACTGCAGACGCTGGTATTCGTTGTCTCAGTCCTCAGCAATCGTCGAATCTGAAAGCTGTTAGCTACAAAGGGGTACGATATAACTATCGATGCCCCACGTTTATTACAATCCAGTTTGCCATATTAGAAAACTGAAATTAAAACCTAAAAGGAATCAAATCATAGATCAATACGCACACATCCATTCATGGTTCCGTTTTAGAAACAACAGGCGCACCCATTTTAATTCCCTATGGTGGTGTAAGAGTCAAAAAAACCGTGGGACGATATGCACCTATTCTTGTAGACTCGTTTTTCGCCGTCAGAAAGAAAACTATATAATTGCGCGTGAAGTCAAGTAGCTCATGAGAACTTCGCATGTGAAGCACTATTACACGTCGAATCTCAAACACAATTTTCATTTTACTACTAATTTAAGCCACTTATGAGATTCTTAATATTACTCGTTAGAGAGCATGCATCTGTTTTGGCTTTTAAGTGCAGTTATAGGATATTCTCACAATTTCTAGGGGTTATTCAAAAATGTACATGATTAACAAGGGTTTAGAATTTTACACCCGGTTTTACCATAATAAGGCATAGTTTTAAGCGACTGGCGACCCGCTCAAAACAAAGCGTATTTATGCCCGGCTTCCAACCCAGAACGACTTACATGCTTTCAAGAACGTCCTAGTTATATATTACCACGGGGACCCTAAATGTGCACATTTAACAACTATATTCTAGCCGTCGTTAGAAAAAAAAGTACATTTGAAGAGTACACTAGCAATTCCTGGATGGTTCTATTCCTGAAATCTGCAAAAATTTCATTTGTAAAATTGTACAGCCAAGTTTTGCAGCAAATACGTGCAATCGATTTATCCTTTTAGCAACAAGCTCTAGGTTTTTTGATGTGAAGACATTCTCGCCATTAGAATTTTGCATGCAAGAATCAACTAAGGATATCTTTAAATTGAGCCTATATCGACTATGACGATTAAATCTATTATTAAATAATAGAAAATATCTGATGATCCACCTTAAACTAGTGTTGTTTCTTAAGATGCTGAGATTGAGCCTTGCTTGACATTCGTTGAGTTATTATAACTACCCGGAGGCAAATCTCAATCCAGGATGTTGTTTTCCATTACCGTTGCCCCACCTTTCTAGGCCGATCAACAAGTGCCACTGAGGTACTGTGGCACCTTTACTTATGTTGTGTTTATGAGTCAGGTGTTTCAACATAACATCTGCCTACACGTGTTAGGGGTGTCACGATTATTGTGGATAAACGATACTCATCAAGATTACATTTTCAAGTTGTAGGTGGTTTAGGTAGCCAGTTGATTTAATTAATAATCCATAATTAACTTAATAGTAACGCTGCGTTAGGTGCCAACTCACTGAAGTGTCGCTCTATGCAAAAAAACGCTAATTTAGAAATTACATTTTGGACTAATAGCATGTCAAGGATTACAAATGCGCGGGCTTGATAACGGTCGAAAAATTTAAAAAACACAAAACCTAACCGTTGGAGTTTATCTGGACGATCCGAATAGTAGTTCATATTTTTCTCTTTAAAATGGTAACTTCTGTATTAGAAACCTAGCTCCGTAGTAAGAATAGTAGCTTTTTGAGTTATTTTGCAAGCATTTTAGATCTGAGACCTATACAAGATCTTCCTGTCTGCCTTATGAAAATCTTCTTAGGATCTCTCAGAAGCTGTATTAAAACAAAACGTGGATCATCTCTTTTGGGCCATATTGCAAGAGTTATCATTTTATTGGCCCGGTGCGGAAAGATTGTCCAGTAGCTGATCCTTGCTCAACTCTCCAAAACGACAGGCTATTTTTCGCCAGAATGAGTTTGTTGTTTTGTTCGAATAAAAATTGGCTTTTGCCTATTTTGATTCATTATAATTACTTCCGAGTATTAAGATACATATATTATAAAGCACTGTCTCTCAATAAACAAGCATAATACCTTTTGTGCACGGAAGGAGCATCATGAGAACTTCAGCCAAGTTTATAAATATTACAAACGGGTTCCAGCTACGCTATTTCTGAATGTGTGAGAGGTTTTAGGCTATACTATAATGCATTTTCTGAAGGGATGACACAGCAGTAACTCAGGAAATCTTGAAGGAATTTTGTCGACGGGTTAATCTCTTGCACGCTATGCATGTATAATCGAACATGGAAGGCTGGCGACCGCTTCGACAAATCCTGTCGTCATACTGAAATGCGTACCGGTCGAAAATAACCCTATTTTAAAAATCCGAGCCGTGGTTTTTTACTATGTCGCAATCACCGCGAATGATCTAACTGCCACACTGTTACCTAACCGAACTGCTAGTTCAATAGCCGTAGAGAAGCAATGACCCGCTAAAACAATAAAAATTTACAAATATGCGCCACGCTCGTGATTTTCCATTTTGATATAAGATATAGTCTATATTCATCTCTGTATGTCTTCCTAATTTATTGCTTAATTCGTTCCTTTGCACTAGTAGTGTTTTTCATTTTCCATACATAAAGGGAAATTAATGTTTAGCGCATCTTTTACCGAAATCAAAAATCTCGGTTCAGTTACGTTTATATCAGAGGTATAGGCTAAAAGCACGAGCTACGCTGCCTGTTACGCGGGCAGGTCATTTTTTTAAAATCTAACTTGAAAAAATATCCGACAAGACAAGTTACTCCATACATTAATAAATAGTTAATACCACACGAAATGGAATGAAACTCATTTAGTGAACGCAGAAAAAGAAGAACGGTGAATGGGTTGAACTTCCAAAGTTTAACTGTACAAATATAGCACACTATTAATGTATGTTTTAACATCAAGGCACTGGAGTTCGTGCTGACCATGATAATAATTCGATCATTTTTTTGGACGCATTCAACCAGGTAGAATACGTACACATTATATCCGGTAATCAGTCCCTCTCTTCTATACGTGTTCTTTCGAAACGAAGAACAGCCACCACATCCAGAATGCTAACATTCGAATTGTTCTTCTAAGCAAACGTGCTGAATTTCAAGGTAGCTGTTTACAGGCTGCATAAAGAATCAAAAAAATCATTTGGGACATATGGTGTCTAAAAACTAGGGAGGTAGATAGTTTGCCAGCAAAAAAAATCGGAGTTTTTTAGGTAAATTATGTGACTTT